AGTATATAAAGTGTCCAATGACAAAATAAGAGTAAGTAGCTTCAAATGCCCCCAACACAAGGGGAGAAAGAAGGCGAAATTTCGAACTTTTTCTTGAAATATCTCAATAAATAGTGGTTTGTTCACATTTTCATTATAAAATTCGGTTTATCAGACAAAAATACGTGAGTACCGAAAAAAAAATTTTAAAAATCCATCGCATGATAAATGCAGTTTTACCCTTAAAAATTACGGTTTCAAGTGTAACGATCCACTTGGGTGAAAAATCCAACAACAGAAAATTGAAAACACACACTGGTTATTTTTTCAGATAATAGGAATTCTCCAAGATAAATATAGGTAATTGTAACAAACGGCATGTCAATCAAAATAAAATACATTTTCCACAATTTTCTTTCGATCAATCTCACGATAAGTTTATGTTCTGCGGGCCCTGTATGAGTAGGTGTGAAGTTTACCTTCACCACCATTTTTGCCAATATATTTAATTCGAATGGGTTGCTGTAGGCGGATATTTGTGTTTTATCCTGGTTTTTGCTTTAAAACTTCGTTTTTCCATAATAAAATCGATTGGGGTGCGAAGAAGGGCTCACTTGACGACTGGCATCCTTTTTTAACCGGAAGCCCTTCAAAAAACAGGAAAATCGGCTGATCTAAAACTAGAATCGAAATACGCGGTCGCCTTATAGCGCTATAAGCGCTTGTCGTTTCGACCCGCTGGTTTGGTCTGACTAAGTGACGTCACCCACGGAGCATGCAGGCCTTGTTGTATCGGTGGTAACGCCTGAATACATTTTTGCAACACTTCTAACGCGTTTTTGATGTAAATAATGTGTCAATGCATTGTCCAAAGTTGTTGAATTTCAAAGCTCATTTCAAACGTGCTGTCATGGCCGCCATTCGGCAATGTTCTGGGATACCTCGGATATATGGTGACGTAAGTTCTTATACTATTCATTATTAGTCAAATAATCTTCCATTCCCACTTGAAAAGCAAGGTCAAATCACCAATTATAATCGAGTTATTAAAAAGTTGTTAGAGCTCTGTGTCGTTGAATAAAACTCGACTTCTAAGATAGCTTGAAACTTGATTCAAAAACGAATGTGAATGAGACAACAAGGTCCATGAATAGAAATCATTGCCGCATATGCAGGGCGTACGAAAACAATCTAGAATGTCGAGATCATTGTTTTTAAATTGAATGCCCTGTATATTAGCACCTTTTTCTAAGCATCTCTGTGAACTCTATCCACCCCTATAATATCGTTGACTATATCTGTATCATATCAAAATTATGGATTTTTTCGTCGAAAAAATGTCATCTGTAGATGCATACCGAAAAAATCACTGTCGTCACAATTATGGAATTTAAGAGAAGATAGTCTTAATATTATTTGATAAAACGGGGCTTGATATTTCTGAAGAATTTTAATACCCTCAAATTTGACAGAGTGGCTGATAATGATTAATCAATTCGGAACTTTCCGATGTGATTTTTGTCGAGGTTTTCGAATGGAACACCCCATATATTTTTAGGTCATTTGATGTAAAATCAAAACGAACATATTTCATCTCAACATCCATATTGATATTTGTAACCACTTTCGAATTATTGAACTTTGAAAATTATAGGTTGGCCATTTTCATCAATATACATTCTTATCTGTAATTAATAGACCAAAAGTTTGAAAGAAATGATACCAGTATCAACGCAACAGAAAAAGTTCATATGCTAGTTTTTCACAAAGTGAAAAAAAGCAAAATTTCCACGAGTCAAATATCCCATGATTTCATGGCACATTGAAAACAAAACTGGGATAATTGAGGAATGAAAATTTTGTCCTTATTCACTTTGTAAATAGTTGTCATAATCATGAACTATTACCGTTTGATTTGATTCTGGTATCAATTCTTTCAATTAAAAAACTGGTTTACTAAATTATTGATTGAATTTCCGGTGTTTTAATAACAGATAAGAATATGTATCGATGAAAATGGCCAACCTAAAATTCTCAAGGTTCAATAATTCCAAATTGGTTACGAATACCAATATGGATGTTGAGATAAAAGATGGCATGAGGGGATTTCGTCGATAAGCTATATCATTAAAACAGATTAAAAACTGAACCAAGTTTTATCAAATAAGACATTGAAGAATGCCTCTGGCTCCCGGGCTAATATTCTTGAATCGCGTAGTCTGTACGTGCCAACTGTAAAAAATAGTCCCCGTACAGTTCGTATTAACAAAATGGCGGCATATTTGAATCGTGCGCTCTTGTTGGAACACCCTCTAGTTATGAAACGGTGACTTTTTCAGATAATGGATATTCCATAGCTAATTTAGGATATTACTCATACCTGATTGAGAATTTATGAATTATTAAATGAATAATATTTCTGAAGTTCCCATTCATATTTCGCGATATGCACACTGTGCTACGGTCTACCCCTACTTACGAAATCGTGACGTCAGTTTTTATTTGCGGTAAATGTCTAGCCGTTTGAAAATTATCTTCACAATATTGATAATTTTAGCACCTTGAAATCGACCAAGAAAAATATGGAATTGAAAAGTAATTAAGTGATGATTCATAAATAAAAAATTGTCCACTAGCTCATTGTCATCATTCTCAGATTTAAAACGTCAGTTGTGAAAATGTTTTCGAATATCTCTTGTTTGGTAACGAATTCGAACATTTATTTGAATTGCCCAAAGACAAGAAGACATCTCAAATGTTTGATAAAGCTTCAAATTTCAATATCCATTTCATGGAAATACATTCAATATTGATATAACTACAGAATGAGCATTATGTTCCTTTGGTGTTACGCCACTGTTAATAATATGTTTTCACTCGTTCAACATTCCATCTTTTATGAAACATATTTGTGTCTCATGTTGTTTGTTCAGCTGTTTAACAACATGACATTGACAACCGTATCCTCAAGGTGGCCTTCCACACCAGCTTTTTGCTGCTAGCATTTCGCAGTGAGCCAATCAGGTTTCGCCAAATTTAGCTACCGCATTCGTCAAGATGCTTGATGTTGGACCAACTTTCACTTTTCAGCGGCAAATAGATTCACATATTTGTCTAATTTGATGCCATGCTATCTGTGGGAGTGTCTGTCAAAGTTATTGAAACTGTGACAGAAGTAAAATTGGTATAATAATGTAATGGAAAAAGTTTATTTGCTGTTGATGGTTGCCTGGCGACATTTTCGACAGATGCTCTGATACCATAAGTTTGTTAAAAGATGATATGTAATAAATAAAAGTGGAATATATAAAACATCGAATAAATCAGGTATCATCCATCCTCAAATGGTTGAAGTATTTGTTCACATCAGTGAGTCGCATCTCTTGTAATAAATTTTGATTGTCCCCAAGCAGAAGTCCTGCATGAACAGTATTAATAGGATGAAACCAAAATCGACACCTTCTTCTGGGTCTATCATTCAAAAAAGTCCCATAATATAAGAGTACTAGGCATCTGCGTTGCAATATTCTGCTTGCTGCTATTTCATGCAATGAGTTTATGATGAATCCATCACAATTACACAAATAACTTCAAATCAGGTATCACATGTTGATCTAATACATCTATCATCTGATATTGATAAAATATTATATTCTCCTGGCAGATAATGAGATGAAGCCATCTGACATTACATCATTCATATGACGTACAAAACGCAGCGTTATTTTCGCTCTCATAGAAATGGATAGCAGTTCGGTTTCAGAACTGGCCACTCAACTGAATTACAAGTCTTGAGACTCATTGAGAACACAATATCGTTGAGAAATGATAGACGAAAGACCCATCTCGCTCTCCTTGACATAGCAAAAGCATTTGACAAGGTGTGGTATCTTATACAAAATGATCGATATGGGCTTTCCTGGCGATTTGATTCAGTTGATGTGTTCATTTCTGAAAAATCGAACTTTTCAAGTGAAACTTGATGATCAACGATCTGGTATCAAACCCATTGAAGCCGGTGTTCCTGAGGGTGCAGTTTTATCGCCGCTGTTGAACAGTTCATATACTAGCGATTTGCCGAGACCAGTGATGTGCAAGATTTCGCTTTTTTCTGATGTTAAGGCAGTTCTCGCATATTCGACAAATTTCGAGCAAGTAGCTATGAACTTCCAAAGCGCACTGAATTCTCTTCAGGAGTACTTCCTAATATGGAAGATCAAATTGAATCCTACAAAAACAGAATTGGTCGCATTCGGAAGGGAGCGGAGGCCTCCCAGAAGCAGAATAGTCCTGGATGGTCATGAGTTAGAGTGGCCTTCTCAAGTTAAATACTTAGGTGTGTGCATTGACAAAAAGCTCACCTGGGCCCATCACATTGAACAGCAAGTTTCAAAAGCTAAACGAGTCATTGGAGCCCTGTATCCATTTCTAAACAGACGAAGTAAATTGTGTTTGAGACAAAAATTGAATATTTACATCATGGCTATCAGGCCAATTTTACTATATGCCTCGGTAGTCTGGGGCGACACAGCTAAATCTCATATCACCAGATTACAAACATTATATAAAAATCGCGAGAATGGTGACAGGATCTTCTTGGTATGTTCGGAATAACCAGATTGCCAGGGATCTGAAACTCCCTTCAATCGTGTCAGTCATTAGAAAACGAAACATTGAGACTTTCTAAAAAGCTGAGGTTCATGAGAATCAGCTTCTTCGAAATGCAGTTGATTATGACCCAGGTGATCAATCAACGTTCAAAGACCGAGATGGTCGATAAACTAGTGAAAATATCAACATTATGACCAAATTTATTTATTCCGTTGTATCTTTTTCAATTCTCAGAATGTATTTTCGAAACTTATTTGTGGCAGAAGGGCTGTTCGCATCAAACTTCAATACCGTTTTCATTTTGTTTCATAATGGTAAGCTGGTATGGAAGGCATCCTTCACTCTACAAAGAGCGTAAAATGAGATATTCGAAGCACTCTAATTTCACAAGTTTAAAAATTGCTATTCAGGTGTACTGCAAAGAAATCAGCTGGAAGATGTTCATACCGCCTTTGCCGCACCACAAAAGCTGGTCGGAGGGATGGGCGCTGATGTGCGACGTCATCCTCCGGTTGCCCGTTTCAGTTCTTTGCAAGGTGCACAGCTGCAGCTTCCACTTGCCCGAGCTCACCGAGACCCTGCGGCATCCCATCAAAAGGTGAGTATCGGGATAGACAACAATTTTTGTTGGTCTAACTTTGACTATTGTTTGAATATCCAGGTTAATTTGAACAGATCATATATTCCACTTCATAGAAGGTTAAAATAGCCTAATAATAAATTCACTCATAATATTTTCTCAAATAATTATCAAAACATTATTTTTTCTCTATGATGATTTAATTAGATATCCAAATCAGCAATTTGTGCACTATCTTTCCAAGCAGTTTTCAATAACACTGAGAACACCAATGGTTTCTTTCTTGTCATTTCCTATTCCAGAGTTGGAGTGGTTTCTTGATGTTCCAATTTCATGGGTTGTGGAAGTTCTCATTAGACTTTTCACTTCCTTCGCAGTTGGAGGCTTGAGTTTTCACAAAGATTTCTGAGAATAACTTATCACAAACCGGATTCTCAAACCTTTTTTATGTTAATAGGTTGTCAGACAGTTGAATTTGTTCAACTTTCAATTACATCTGGAATAAATTGTGTGAGCTCTCATTAGGCTCAACTGGGGTTCCCTGGTGTATTTACTTGTTGAATTGTTGCATTTTGATAAACCAGACTATTGAGTGACATGTTAGTTAGGTTCTCATTAGACCAACTAAACAATTGCTCCTTAGGGACTTGGTTAATTCTTCCCGATTTCATAATGTTTATCTTCACTAATGTTTCATAATAAACATTCTTGATTTTTCCTTTGACACATGTCATGTCTTGGATGTCATGTCATTCATGTCAACTTCAAATTTGCCTCCATTAGTTCAGTACGTTCAATGACAATTAAATCAAGGTCCGTCACTCATCAAGTTCACTTCAACACATGTCGCAGCGACAATGGCTGCTTAACAAAATGTAATCTGTATTTTACCATAATGTCGTTAGTTTCAAACTGGACCAGAGATATTTTTATGGACAAATTTCCCTGTTAACCTGACGAGTAAGTAACCTCACTTTTATCAATTTCCAAATTCATATTTAACCATTTCAAATTTCGATTTTATGATAATGTCTTTTTCAAAATGAAGAGTTCATCAACAAGTAACAAGTCATCAATTTATTTTTACCTTTTTTCAATATCAAACAAATTTGCAAAAAATTTTTCAAAATAATCTTTCAAAAGAAAATAAATTTTTTCGGAATTTTTTTTCGAATTTTCAATTTCAATTTCTTTCCAATAGCTAAAAGCAGATTACTTACAGGTATGCACTGATGATGACTTAACAGTCGAAAGCGCTCTGCTACGAATATAAATTTGAATAAATTATCTTGCACGAGATACAACACTTTCCTTCTTTGGTATATATACACGTGCACACAGCCCAGCAACCCTCACTAATATTGTTTTATCTGTCACTCGGTTGCTCCATTATGAGCAACTTCAAAGGAAGGTCGACGGTTACTAATTTAGGTAATGGAAACCATCCATTCTCAAAGTGGTCCAGTATTTTTCAACAGGAGATAGAAACTAACTCGAAGTCGGTTGATCACAATATTTAATATAAACAAATAATCAGCGTGTGACTATAGTTTCGGCCCTACGGCCAGCTTCAGACACACTGAAAAAAGTACCTCTTATGTAGAAAACATCTTGACTATATAAAATAGTATATCACGTAATATGTGTTGTAAGAAGCATATTACGCACGAATGGAAAAGTCACGCACGAATGGAAAAGTCCATGAGTGCGTAATCGATTTACAACACGCATTACGTACTATACTTTACCTGCTGCCATATAGTACATCAAAAAACATTGGGCACACAGTCTGAATTATTATTCTTGACAGTTATGTCATCCGCTGTTGACGGCGATTACGCGATCATGACTGGCGCAATAAACAAAAACTGTGCGATGTATTTACCGTGCGTAAGGAGCTACTTCCTGAGGCTGTATCTCGTGTGCTCTTGCCTACTTTCTATAGTGGCCGTAGGTAAAATTAATTAACCGGTCGTTATAACAAAGGATCAATAATCACCCATATTATTATTAATCTTTAGTTAATCACATACACTTATGAATTCCATGATATTTCGGCACGCTCTGTTCAAATTAATTTTACAAAATAAGTAACTAATGAACATATAGGTAATTATGATATGTATAAACCAAAAAAGGGCAATACTTCATCTGATTCAGATCGAATTCATTAGAAATATGATTATTTTTGTATGATAATGTTTGTTTTGTTTGTTTCTATTTTGTTGGAAATAGGTTACTGTTCTGTTCACTAAAAGTACATAATGTTTTGAAGTCATAGCTTTATTTCATTATCATGTCTTGGAATTCTTATTGCATAAAATAGATCTTGATCAGATCTATTGAAATCTACTGAATTTTTGACAAGGTATTTTCTGATGGAATTCAAATCGAACTGGCAACCCTGGTCCGCGCGGAGAATGACTTGACAAAAACTGTCATTTGCTGTTGTCAAATTATTTATTCACGAAATCCCATAGATTTCACGTATGAATATGACCGTGATGTGAATATAAATGTTTCAGGTCGACGAAAAAATGTAATATGCCCCTCAGCAAAAACTGTTTGTTGTCTCGGCTAAGATCAGAAAGAAAATATCTCCAGTAATCGAAGTACTCTACAGGATCAGACACCAAATCACTTTGAAATACTTATGTATATATTTTTCCTTGGTTTATTCAAAATTACAGTACTTGATTTCAGTTTGGGGTACAGCTAGGTTATCAATTATGAAGCCAATCAAAATCTTTCAAAACAAAGTTATTAAATGTATATACAAACTAGATTACTTGGAACCAACAAGAAATCTTTATAAACCTAGGCAATTGTTAGATATTAACTCCATTTACAAATTCAAAATATTAAATTTCATCCTTTCCGTCAAATATAAACATTCAAATCTGAATTTTGAAGTCAATAGCCATAAACACGAACACATAACCAGACAGAAAGATATGTTAACTCTCATCAAAATTTAATCAGATATGGGTAAAAGATCTATTTTTTACAATGGAACAATTCTCTATAATGAATTACCTACCAGACTGGAGAAAAAATTAAGTGTTGAGAAATTCAAAGAAGAACTGAAAAAATACTTATGCCTCTGTTTCTCTTACATCATCCTAAATCAATTCAAGAACTTATATTCAACAGTATCAAGAAGGAACAACATTCTATGTACAGGGTGATTCACCATAAATGTCCCCCCTCTAGCTCAGTTATTTTTGAACCGATTTTAAAATTTGAAATATCATCTTGAATGATTTTCGATAAAGTTTTTTTTCCGCTAGATCTGAAAATACAGGGTGCTCGGAACAAACGATCTACAGGGACTATTTGATTTTTTTAAATGGAACACCCTATTTTCCATTGTATTTTTAGATTCTCCCTGAAGAGCTGATTTGATCAATGTATCACACTTGGGGTCTAGCGGGACTGATCACAGAGATATAGGGTGTTCAAAATCGAGATTTTTAACTTTAGAATTTTTTTGTGACGAAACTATTCATTATCGGTCACGCGGTTTTCATGTCCGTATCTTAATTTTTTATTTACTATCTACTGACATTTAATAATTGGAACAGATACAGGGTGACCAGAATTCTGAATCTTGAACCACCCTGTAAATGTTCCAATTAAATTTCACTAGATAGTAAATCGAGAGTTGGGATGGAAACAGAAGCCGTTTTGACCAATAATGAATAGTTTCGGCACAAAAAAATCCTAAAGTTGAAAAATCTCGATTTTGAACACCCTATATCTCTGTAATCATTCCCGCTAAACCCCAAGTGTGATACATTGATGAAATCAGCTCTTCAGGAAGAATCTAAAAATACAATAAAATACAGGGTGTTCCATTTGAAAAAATCAATTAGTACTCTGTAGATCGTTTGTTCCGAGCACCCTGTATTTTCTGATGCAGCGGGAAAAAAATTTCAGAAAAATCATTTTAGATTATCTTTAAAATTCTTAAAACGGTTCAAAAATAAGTGAGCTAGAGGGGGGGACATTTATGGTGAATCACCCTGTACTATGTATATGATTCAAAAATGATTATCTCATTACTTAATTTTATTTTTTTCTAGTTGCCCTCTCATAATGTTCCCTGCTACCTGATACAGATCATTACCATAATTTCCGAAATTTCAGATTCTATTTAGTGAAAGATCTGTCGGAGTCCATCCGAAGTGTCACTTTGTTCAAGAGGAGGTATCTCTTCAGCATCCATGATTCCATCACCAGGCTGGCCTACTGCGGCCTTGTGCAGTACGGCCCGAAAAAATACAAGGAAAAAGACCAGTTCTTCATCTATTTGAATCGGAAGGCTTCATTGTTTGATACTACGAGCAGTCGGCCCTCGTATAATTTGATTGAAGACAAGATGTATCCCAGGATGTCATTCAATTTCAGGAGTCAGACCGATTTGGAGAACTATTGGTACAATTTGTACGGCATATGTGAGTGTGAAAATTACAGTTCTTAACAATCTTGAAAAATTTGTCTTCTCGAATCTATAATTTTTTAATTTTTTTTATTTATTCATTTATTGAATCAAGTGAAACCTACATTTTGTCATCGAATATCAATTACTTGTATATATATATACAGGGTGTTGCGAAATTCGACCGACAACACTTGACAGGTGATAGTTCTCGTGATATCATAATCACTGAGATAGGGACATACGGTCTTCAAGTGTTTCGCAATATCAAAAGATAAATTGAATATAATGCATTCAACTTCGGTATATGGTTTCATCTTTGGATGGGTAATTTTTCGACCAGGAATCTATTCCGGACATTTTATCCAGTGGTGCCCTACAGGGAGGTATGACAACTTTTCCTCCCATATTTTCTAAGCCACTGATTGAAGTTCAATTTTTTTCTTGTTCCTCGAATTCATTGTTGCATCACCTTCAACTGAGCTGAAATGAACTGTTCGAGATATTCGACCCAAAATAGGAGATTGCATAGTAATATTTCATCATTTTCAGTAGTAGAAAATTGCAAAAATATTTTCCTGGGGTTGAGTAGATTAGATACTGTTCAGATCTCATTCTTTAGCTGAACAGAAATAGTTATCCCACGCATAAAGAGAAAACAAAAATTTTTGTAATCTTCTACTACTGAAGAAGATAAAGAATTACTCGAAAATTACTATGCAAACTTCTATTTTGTGTCGAATATCTCGATAACTGTTCATTTTAGCTCAGTTGAAGATCATGCAGTTTTTCAACATAATTGAACAATCAATTCGAGAAATTGGAAATAATCGAAATTTTATCAGTGGCGTAGAAAATATGGAGGAAAAGTTATCACAACCCTCTGTAGCGCACCTCTGGGTAACATTCTTGGAATGTCTTTATGGTCAAAAAATTAGCCATTGAAAGATGAAACTATATACCGAATCTGATTGCATTATATTAAATTTTTCTTGAGATAGGAGAAACCTATTTAAATTTCTCAACTTCAACGCCCTGTATCTCGAGATCTGAACACTTGAAGACCGTATGTCCCTATCTCAGTGATTATGAAATCACGAGGGCTATCACCTGTCAAGCGTTGTCGGCCGAATATCGCAACACCCTGTATTTCATATTATATCACCTTCACATAGGTTATTAACCTTGTGTGTGAAAAAGATGAATTATTCCACATATAAAATTGGTTTTCCACAATATAAATAGTTTAACTGAAAACAAACAAAAAATTCATACAATCATGAGAATAAGAAAAATAGAGTTGATTAAAAAAGATCATCGATTTTTTCGCATTTTCTATAAGCCAACTTTCAACAACTCCTCTTGAAGGTATGATATTTAGGCGTTTTAATTTTGATGGTATCTTATTATAAATGTTAGATCCAATAAAACTAGAATGTTTTTCTAAAATTCTAAACTTATGTTTTTCAAGTCGCACATTGTGGATTTTGCTTCTTGTACCATAATTGATTTTATCAATTATTGCCGGATTCTTTTTGATAAAGATTATTGACGCCTTATATGTACCGTGTGTCCACCCTAAGGACTTACCACCCCTGTAAAATCGTTATTATCCGACCAATTTCAAAAAACCTTTTTTTGTTGGATAGGTATTTGAAATGCTCATCCAACGAGAGAGTGATCTAATTCTTGGACTGTTATCGTGGCCAACTGCGACAAATTTCAATGACCCATATTCCAGAAAGTACTATTAGGAATTTTTCCCCACGAAACTTGATGATGGATTCTGAATCAGTACCACTTGAAATATACGTGTACCGATTTTCATCATCATAAAACACAGGGCGTCCGAAAAAACGAATCATCATTTTCTTCAAATTGGTGATCAGCAAATGTAGTTCTGTGGTTTTTCTAGAAAGAAATAATCAAAAATTATCATTGAGGATTATTTAAAATATACCTGTACCAATCTTCGTCATTTGAATGTGCCTGAGAAAAAAATTAAAAAGGATAGGTAAGCAATAGTTTTCATCCTGATAATTCTTCACTCAAAATAAAAAAATGAATCAGGATCACTCGGAACATACCTGTACCGATTTTCATCATCATTAAACACAGGGTGTTCGAAAAATCAAATCAATATTTTTTTTGAGTTGATGAAAAAATATTGCCTACTTTTTCTTTTTAATTGTTTTATCATTCACATCGTATTTTTGAATGATGAAAATCGGTACAGATATGTTCAAAGTGATCCTCAATAATAATGTGTCATCAATTCTTCTAAAATATGGGTCAATAAAGTTGGTCGCAGTTGGCCACGATTACAGTTCATGAGTAAAATCACTCTCTTGTTGGATGGACATTTCAAATACCTATCCAACAAAAAGAAGTTTTTTGGAATCTGTCAGATAATAACAATTCTACAGGGGTGGTAAGTCCTTAAGGTGGACACACTGTAGAATAATTGCCTAACATTCAATATATCACTTTCTAAAAATAATGATGCTGATGGACAATCAGATGATTTACGGAATATCATTTTCGAAACATATTTTTGAATACATAATAAAGGATTTAGATGAGTTTCATACATACCATATAAGAATAAGAATAATATTTTCCGTCGATTCTGCATAAAATAGTCCTTAGCTTAACTGGCAATCGTCTCTCACCAGTGTGCATTATTTCTGAATAATTGGTATTTTTCAATTAAGGTATGAATACAAAACTGAATGCCAGGAAAGAAGGACAGGTGGTAGTATTGACCGAGATTTCTGCTAAACCTGAACTGGAAAGAGCTATGAAATCGAGGACTTGTGAGGAGGCAATAGCGTAAGTATTTTTTTCTAATTTTGACATGTAATTTGACACTTGTTGACGGAAGTTTTGAAATGTCTTACTTCACGTAACCAGTTGCGTAAAGTAAAATGTTTCATAACTGGTGATGAAATTTTCATTTCATAAAATAACCAATTTTTATACATCTACCTAACTTTTTATGTCCAATTTGGATATATTGAGAGTTTTCTGAAATTTTGATCAAGGGCGAGGGAAATAGGTGGGGCTAGGGCCACTTTTTCTCTCAACTTCTTTGTTTATGCAATGTTTGGCAGTTTGACCAGGAAATATGAAAATATCATCATTTCTACTTGAAAATGGTACTTCTGTTCAGTTTCCTTAGCACTCACCATTTTCGAGATAAGTCGATTTTGAAAGTCTGCTGTGTAATGAAAATAGTACTTTTTCTTTATAGGGTACCTAACATATTATTTTTCAGTTTATTCTCTTCATTACACCCCTCATATTTTTGATCAGAAATGAATGGTTGGTTTTGAGAGAAGGGGTATTTTCCATCAAACCATAATTTTGGGGAAATTCGGTATCCTATTAAGGAAAAAGCACTATTTCTATTGTGCAGCAGAATTATGAAATCGAACATGGTTAATGATTTCGAAACTGAACAAGAGTACCACTTTTAAGTTAAAATATTGAGATTTTCATATTTCTTGGTCACACGGCCGTAAATTGCATAAACAATAATTATTTTTGTATCTAGAGCGCGAAGTGCTACTTTGGTGACCGAGATCTGATTTAGTCGAGATGAGCAAAGTATTTCGCACTCGAGTTGCAAACAACATTTTTTCTACAAACGTCGAAAAATATAGTTCTGAAGTAAAAATATATTTAGCTTGATATAAAAAATAGTGTTGAACTAGCTCAAAAGGCCTCCCCCTATCCACCCTAGGTTCGCACGATGTTCCACGAACATAATAGGAATTTCCTTTCGTACGCTCCAAGAGATAAAACAAAGTTATTGTTGGACATTCAGAAAGTGGTCACTTTGGAGACCTGCAGAACATCTCTTTCCAAAGACTCGTTCATCCAACGAACAGCAAGGCTCTGGAACACATTGCCAAGGGAGGTGTTCCCCAAGGCATATTACCTCCAGAAATTTAAGAACACCAATTCCTACCTTATTTCCCTTGGCTCTCACGATGTTCTCTGAACATTACAAGATATTCCTTTTCGTGGGAACAAAAACTTGAGAGAAAAATCTGTTAATTTGAAATGCATGAGAAACAATAATAGTTATTTTTCTTGCAATATTGAATATTTTTTTATGAAACTTGGTACAAATTTATTTCAGAGTTCGCCTATTCCAGTGGTGTACGCGGATTTTTTCTGAATATGGATTCTGAATTTTTCAGCCTCTGAATGTGATCTAGTAGGCCTTGGTTTAAAAAAAAACATGGACACTGCTTAGCTCCAAAATACAACTTTTCTTCCTCTACATTTCAAACGAAATCGTGAAAATCGCTCCATAAATAAAAAACTTATGAGGTTGGCCCTCAAATGGGCCACTCTGTATATTAGATATCAAATTTCCACTTATTTTTGGACGTTCCGGGAACGAATTTGCTCCCGTTTTCAACATAAAAATGGAAAATACTTCCCTCGCAAATTCGTCAGGTACCTAGCAGTTTGGACACGTCTCAGGATGTTAAAATAATACTCATATTTTTATTTTATAGAAACGAGGAGAGAAAATCCCGAAAAATCTGAAATATAGACTAGAATCTGTGGTTGAAATATTTTTATTCACGACTTTTGTATGAAATATACATAATACATGTACTTCCCCAAGCAAAACGGTAGCCATTTTTCACACCAGTGAATAATAGCAGTGAATAATCATAATTCACTGGTCAAGAGTTCCTAGGTTACGCGATATAACATATAAGGAACTTTATCCACGACTGTTGTATGAAATATTCATAATACATTAACTTCCTCGAGCGAAACGGTAGCCATTTTCACACCAGTGAATAATAACAGTGAATAACCATTATTCACTGGTCTGGAGGTCCTAGGGTATGAGATATAACGTAGAAAAGAACTTCAGACCAGTAAATAATGAACTAGAAAAAAGCCACATACTCAAAGTGGAATGCAATGGTCACAAAGAGAGAGAAATTCAAAGTCATTACCACACTAGTTCATAAAATGAACGAAAATGGTAGATAACGAGAGAAAAACCAGTGAATAATGGTTATTCACCGCTATTATTCACTGGTGTGGACAAATAATTAATATAACAGGTATCTACAATTTTTAGTTTCCTCAATGTCAAATGAGTTATGGTATGAAACAGTAATTGTTAAAAATAAATTGATATATCAAAGACAATAGTAGTCGCGGACATAGTATAGTATTCTACTCGCATATAATGAGATATTATTTACTCAGGTTAATTATGCTACTCGCTAAAAATAAATTTATTTATCAAAGACAATAGTAGTCGTGGACAAAGTATAATATTGTACTATTATGTAATACAGTCAATGTCTTTCACGGTCGAATTAACATGCCGATCCCAATCCCAAATCACTAAACTATACAGGTAATAGTCATTATATTGGATTTTTCAATCCAGGAACGATAATGGAGACATACCGGGCGACAAAAAAGGCGCAGCCTGTTTGGATTCGGCCCTTTGGTCGCACATGAAGCGAAACTGGTTTTGGGCGTCCAAAGTGCCCAGTATCGATAGTGCCTCGATGGGCTTGAAGAAGGAAAGAATGAATAAGGTGAGCAAAAAAGATTAATGTAGTTTCATCATAGGAGAGAACTCACGGCGCTGGCAGGTCAATGCTGTCAATGAAGACCTTGCTGAAATCACAGCCTGGGGAACCAACAACCTAGTTGAATTCAACGCCACCAAAACTCAAGCCTGTATTTCCTCTAGTAAGGCGGAACTCAGTATGCCCGACATTGTAATGTCTGGCACCACCATCTCCACCAAGCCCACCATATCTATGCTCGGTATATCCATCAGCAACACTCTTTCATGGGATAATCATGTCAGATCCATCGCAAAAGCTGCTTCACAAAAACTCGGATTCTTGTTCCGTGCGAAAAGCTACTTTACACCTCAACAGCTTATCGTGATCTACAAAGCGCAGATACGGCCTGTTCTAGAATACTGTTCCCACATATGGGGTTCAGCACCAAAACATACGCTGATACTCTTAGATGCCATCCAGAGAAGCCATTCGCCTGGTGGGTGACGCCACACTCACTCATTCCTTGACATCATTGGAACACCGTAGAAAGGTGCGATCTTTCACTTTTCTATAGATACTTCCACGAGAAATGTTCTTCGGAAATCTCTGCTATCATCCCTTCACTAGCAATACCAGTTAGACAAACTAGACTAGCCCAGTCAGAACACCTTTTCGTAGTCAACTTCGAAAGATGTCGAACAGCACTTTATCAAAACTCCTTCATCCATAAAACGGCTAGGCTCTGGAATGCATTGCCTGAGGAAGTATTCCCAACAACATATAATCTCCAGAAGTTCAAAAAAAATCCCAATACCTACCTCCTGTCCCTATCCTCCCTAGGAACGCACGATGTTCTTTGAACATTATAGAGATTTCCTTTCGTGCGCTCCAAGCGATAAAAAAAGTATTCACATACATCAGAAGTTTATTTATTTCATTTCATTCTTTGCTATAAACATTACATTGCATCTCATATAAATATAAATATAATCATTAACTTTCACAATGGAATAACATGAATAATCAGACAGATTCATATCTGGTATGAGATTATTCATGCGTTATCAAATTAAATTATAGTTATTGAAATAAACAACAGAATAAAATAATAATATTAATAATAATAATAATAATAAAACAAAAAGGTCATGAAAAGTACATTATGACATGATGAAATAAATTAGTGAATGAGAAATCATTCACTCAGGTTTGATTTTCTCTCTGCAAGAGGATATGTTTCTTGACTTTCATTTTCATCAGGTAATTTATTGAATTTTGAGATAGCTCCGTGAGTGAACTTTTTTTGACCAAGTGTAGAATTAGCAGCATCAAGATGAAACAAGTCATATTGTCTAGTATGATGTTCATGGATTTGAGAATTCCTCACCAATATGAAGTTAGATTTGAGGTGTTTGTTGATAATATCAAAAGAAATTTTGAGAGTATTTATCAGATAGTGCACTTCCAAAGAAAATGTATTCGTTTCTTCATAAAGTTGATATGATGGGGTGTCATATGGAAGACGATACAGTACTTTTAATGCTTTTTTGTATAGTACAGATATTTTGTTGAAATTATTCTTGGAACATGAACCATTTTCTTTGAGCATGCCAATATGCTTGTCCCATGTTAACTTTTCATCAATCCAAATACCAAGGTATTTGGTATAGGCAGTTTGTTCCAATCTTCCATTATTCATTCTAATATTCAAATCAATATTTTGTTCATTTCTTTGATGGAAAATTATATATTGGGTCTTGAGCCATTCTTCCATTTTCTTTAAATCCTCATTTATGTTGTTTTCTAAAATTACAGGGTTTTTGTTTTCAAATAAAAGTACTGTGTCATCTGCATATATGGCATAGTTTCCTATTAAATTTATTTTTCTACAACCGCTTAACAAAGTAGCCTTTGACGCTTTCAAATTCCAACACAAAGTTGACGTTTTCCCAGAAATGTCATTCTTTGACAGCATTTGCGCTCATGAGCGGAAATATTGAAAAAACTATTCTATTCTTGAAAACCCCCAATTCTTTCATGATGAAAAATAGTGACAGTGAATCATCAAACACACCTCCTGATATAGCAGAAAGCGCAAGAGTTTGAATCTCTTACCGGAGAAATCAAGAAAGAAATATGAATTACAATATGATACATTCATGAATTGGTGCCATTCCGAGATGGTGAATATGTATTTCATAAAACGTTTTACTGGCTTATTTTGGTAAAAAATCAAAGACTTTGAAGTCATCAACTCATTGGTCTATATATTCGATGGTACGTATACATGCTTGAATGTTAAAAATAATATCGGAATCAATAAGTATCTGAAACTTATCGCATTTCTCAAGAAACCATCTATTGGTTATAAAGCGAGAAAAATCCAAAACATTCACCGCTGAAGATATATACCAACAAATTTCTATAAGAAGCTCCCGATGAAGCATATCTGTTGAAAACGATGAATTATACTTTATATTTAAACTCTTTGTTGTCATCAGAAAGACAGTGTATCTTTATTTTATTGCATCAATGAGTAATGTTCAATTTGATTGCTTAGTTTTTCGTACTATGGCTCAGAGGTCTGAAGCTCAGGTTGCCACGCTGGTGGTCCAGTTTCAATTCTCGGTAGGCCCGACATTTTTTTCTGGCTTGTCATTTATTTCAATTTTTCTTTTCTGCTTCCTTTGGACATATGGGATAATATGGATAAGAACTTTTTCAACTATTTCAATCGCTCATACTTTCAGGGCAGTAATTTCCAAAAGCTGCGTTAGTATTTAGAATAAATCTTGTGTGTATTTCGAGCACAAAGTGTTATTGCCGCTCTCCAAAGATTAACTTTCTTTATCGAGCGGCAATCTATCACTTTGCGCTCTAAATAGACAAATAGCTATTTTGAAATGTTTTGAATAAAAGATACAAAATAGGTCTGGGAAAAAATATCGATATATCGATAAAAATATCAATCAAGTCATTGATATTCCCAGTGCTTCTGATCTCGTCGAAAGAATACGCTTGGATTGGGCTCAACATCTTCCAAAATATTGTTTTTCTACAAAAATGTATTCTTTGTATACACGGTGTCCGGAAATTGTGCGCAAAAAATCATGGGGGTGATTTTGCATGAGAAAACATAACATTTATTTTATATACCCGTGGGTCCGGAAATGCATAGTTTTCAAGATACATTGTGTTGAACGTTAAAAAAATAATCGTTTTTTTATGATTATGTCAAATATCCTTCAACCGATTCTCTTGAAATTTGGCAATAATATTCGTTGTCATGAAAAGCTGATTTACCTATAATTAAATTGGAATTGAGAAATCCAGTGGCGTCCCAGGGGCACCCTAGCGAATATTATTTTTTCAGATTTTGTATCAATAAATAAATAAATAAATATCCTATTGACCAACTAAAAATACAACATTTTGGTCCCTGAGTTGTTTCGATATTTTGCTTCGTTTCCGTGAAAAAAAATGAATACTAATTTAGTATATAAATTTGTGCAAAACATTCCTTCAAAAACAGACTACTCCTTCCTGGACCGAAAATACATAGTTCTCAATATACAAAGTGTAGAGTATGTTGAACATGTATCATGAGATATCTGAAGAAAATTAATCTTCATTCTTATTCTATGTCTATGGACATGTATCCCTCATTTATCTTCAGCCCAGTTTCTGGAGGAAGTTTTAGGTACAAATTTATGCAAAAATTGGTATTTAATTTTTCCATGGAACTGAAGCAAAATATCAAAACAATTCAAGACACCAGATCGTTGTATTCTTAGTTGGTTAATAGGTTATGAAAATACAGAATTTAAAAAAAATCAGTGGCGCACACTGGATTTCATAATTGCAATTGAATTATGGCTATATCACCCCCACGTGACAAAAATTATAATTGTCAAACATAAAGAAAATCGGTGGAAGGGCATTTGAGATATTCAATAAAACCGATTTTTTTTTGTTTTTCACACTGGTTGTTGAAAACTATGCATTTCCGGACCCACGTACATATAATATGCATTCCATATTTTATCATGTAGAATCACCCCCTTGATTTTTTGCGCATAATTTCCAGACACCCCAATTTTGGAATTGACCCATTTGTACTTTTGTCCATTCTTCCAGGTACTTCCAAAAGAAGTCCCATTCAAGAACTTGGTCAACAAACCCAGCAAGATCTTCCTGCACAAACCGCCCAAGGATGTCCCACCGCCGAAGAAGCCCAAAAAGATGAAACCCAAGCCGTTAAAACCAAGCAAAACATTCAACCGGTTGACCAGAAAAATACCAGAGAGAAAAACCACCGTCCGCAGACAGTATTACGACAGGTGAAGATTTTTTGTATTACCTGCATACACGTAACTGATCAATTGAATGAAAACATAAATCAAATCGCAACTATACTGTCAAAATACAATATTTGAGTGAAAATTATAACTAAACTTCCTTTTCTGAACAGTTTATCAATGACATGGGTGTACCCCAAGGATCAGTTTTAGGACCGATCCTCTTTATTCTCTATGTCAATGAGCTGCCATCTGTTTTGCCAAAGTCATTCACTTGTTTGTATGCTGATGACTCTTCTCTCCTATTTAAATCAAAAGATTTGATTGAACTGCAGCAAAATATCAATTCTGATCTTGTCAGGTTGCAAAATTGGTCCAGTGAAAACTCATTATTTTTGAATGCTCATAAAACGGAAGCAGTAGCTTTTCATACCACTCAAAATACTAACGCGGTAAACATTGATAACGAAATATCCGGTGTTGAGATAGAAAGAGGTGAAAGTGTGAAATTTCTAGGGCTTTTTCTAGATAGCAACCTCAACTTCCGCCAACACTGCGTAAATCTTTATTCATTACTCAATAAGACTGTCCGCAGACAATATTAATAATAATAATAATAATAATAATAAATCGACTTTATTTATAAAAGTATGATGAAAACATATACAATTGTTATGATCATTAAGGGGCGAAATTTAGCTAGGCTACTCTTACATCTAACCCCATAATGATCTGAATAATATAAGATAGCATGTAAGAAAAGATTATGTGATAATGACATGGTTACATTACATGAATTTACTAAATTATTACAGACGTACATCTTTGAATCATACCATTCACATCAGAATAATTTATTAGATCGGTAGGTCCGATAAGAGATTCTGCTTGAAACGATGCTTGAAAGCAGACTTACTAAGGTTCATCATATTGTCAGGTAATGAATTGATCAATTTTATAGCATTGTAAGTGAATCCTTTCTGAAAGAGAGTTGTCGAATGATGTGGAATGGTTATGGTTGTCTTTTTTCTTATATTCACGGAATGAACTTGAGACCGTGGAACTAGATTACTTTTTATGTCCACCGGACCTGTTTGCATGACTTTCTGTAAGTAAGTTGCCAAGTGTAACTTTCTACGACTTTCCATATTTAGCCAATTGAGCTCCTTTAATTTTTGACTAACATGATCATATTTTCTGAGACCAAAAATGAATCGGATACAATAGTTTTGTACTTTCTGTATCTTGTTTCTGAACGCTGCATCCAGAAAAGGTCCATAAAGAAAGTCACAGTACGTAAACTGGGATAAAACTAGACTCTCACATAATTGTTTACGTAACTTTGGGTTCAGTATATATCTGTTGGAATATAAAACTTTCAACGATGTAAAACTCCTTTTAAGTAAATTATTTATATGGCATTTGAAACTAAGATCATCGTCCAACACCAATCCTAAATTTCTCACAGAGTGTTCAACGTTTATCTGAGTTCCATTGATGCTAACTAAAAGATTAGATTTAATATATTCGTACTGATTGCGAGGTGAAAAAATTAGTAACTTACGACAGGTGAAGATTTTTGTATTAGCTGCATACACGTAAATGATCAATTGAATGAAGATATAAATCAAATCGCACCCAGACTGTCAAAATATAATACTCGAGTGAACATTATAACGAAACTTTTTTCTCTGAACAGTTAATCAATGACATGAGTATACCCCAAGGATCAGTTTTAGGACCGATCCTCTTTATTCTCTATGTCAATGAGCTGCCATCTGTTTTACCAAAGTCATTCACTTGTTTGTATGCTGATGATTCTTCTCTCCTATTTAAATCAAATGATTAGAATGAACCGCAACAAAATATCAATTTCGATCTTGTCAGCTAGCAAAATTGGTTCAGTGAAAACTCGTTATTTTTGAATGCTCATAAAACGAAAGCAGTAGCTTTTCATACCACCCAAAATACTAACGCGGTAGACATTAATATCGAAATATCCGGTGTTGAGATAGAAAGAGGTGAAAGTGTGAAATTTCTAGTGCTTTTTCTAGATAGCAACCTCAACTTCCGCCAGCACTGCTAAAATCTTTGTAAATTACCTAATAAGCAGTGTTACCTGCTAAGAAACCTTAAACGAATTTTGGACAACTCTGGTCTTCTTTTATATTACCATGGACCGATTCAATCGAGAATTAACTGTGGGCTAATTGTTTGGGGTAATTCTCCACCTACACACAGTGTTTTTGTGACACAAAAGAGAATCATTAGAACAATTGCAAACGCATCACAAACAGCATCGTGCAGAACATTATTTGAAAAATTGAATATTTTGCCCCTTTCAGGTCTCTACATTCTGGAAGTTTTGTTGTACATTCATAAAAATAAGGAAGATTTCGAACATAATACCCGTATCAAAAATGATTTTCACTTACCCAAGACACGTTTATCTCTGCGATTAAACTCGTTCGAGTTTTTGGGGCTGAGACTATACCGGGTGTCCCAGTATACCTGTTCCAATAGATTATCTCAGCCATTTCGAAAGATGAAAATTTGAAAAAAATGATCTACTACAATTCTAATAATTTAAAATTATTATTGAAGTCAAAATCAAGATTACAAAATTATCGTAGCCTACTACAATTCGTTCAATTTGAAATTGTCGTGTTCTCCATCAAATCAAATATAAAATATGAAGTGTGATACATCGTTGGAACGGTAATTTTGAGTAGAAACCAAAAATTGCAAAAAATATACAGAGTACTATTTGAAATAAAAAAGTTAAATTCACTTCCGTCAAACCGGAAGTGACTTTCAATTTCTGTTTTTCTCAGTTGAAGCTTCCTTACACGATCCCCAAGATCATGAAATTTTTGAATTTTTATTTTTCGAAATGGCTGAGATAATTCATTGGAGCAGGTATACTGGGACACCCGGTATAATGCACTCCCGGAGTTTTTTAAGAACATCACAAATGAACAAGTTTTCGAACATGAAATAAAACAATTACTTTTTGAAATAAGCCCCTATAAAATCGATGGATGAGTTCTTTTTTCATCTAAATTAGTGAAATGATTTGTATTTTTTATTGTTTTCATCAATACTCAAGCGTTTGTTATATATTTGTATTTCATACTGTATTTTTTATTTACTGACTCATTCAATTGCTTTTTGAGCTCACCTTAATGGATCAATAAAGACTAAACTAAACTTAACTGAAGACATTTTGTGTTTCGTGTGAATACAGGGTGATTCAAAAGTTCTTTCACAAATGTCAGGAGGTGATTCATCACAATATTCTAATATGAATGGGCTTTTCTAGTCATGTCTAGAGATAACAGATCTCGGAATATATTACTCTGAAATACCTCAAAATATCAATCATAAAAAAATATTGAAAACGCCAAACTGAATGAGCGAATTCAAACTATCAGACATGGACGCGAAAAGTGTGACGCCAGTGCTCGAGCAATTTGGATTGGTAATACTCTCACCTCCTCTTGGATGTCAATAAAATGCACAATGGACTTGACAGTGTTGCCAATTTGGACAGAAAGGTATAATTAGTCGTAGTTCATTTCTCGATTTTTTCATTTCAGCAAATAATACAGATGCTGATAGATAACTCAACTAATACTACTCAGTATTGAAAAGGAATATTCTCAGATATATTATAAACATGAAAAAATGGATACATTTGAATAAATACATTGAGAATTCGCATTCTCTATGTGATGAAATTATTAATTCTTTCTCGGCATATTCAACAGAAAACAACTACTTTCCTGGCTATATGCCACGACGAACATTGAATTATATCAATTGAACATACACGATAGGAATTTGAGCATAAAATGAATATCGTCTGAAATTGAGAATTGACATTCTCTTCCAGAATCGGATGAATACTATGATGAATATAACGATATAAAAAATATATTACTTACCAAATTGGTATGAAAATTGGAATGTATGGGAGAAATATACTAGTATACATACTCTGTTCTTGTTGAGTCGTGAATATGCCGAGAAAGAATTAATAATTTCATCACATAGAGAATGCGAATTCTCAATGTATTTATTCAAATGTATCCATTTTTTCATGTTTATAATATATCTGAGAATATTCCTTTTCAATACTTTCATACCCAATCAAGGGGTTCAAACTTGAACGATGGAAACTTGTTATTTTTATAGACCTTCAATCGCAGATTCGTGATTGGGTTTTTCTCAATTCAGAATTTCTTTCCACGCCCTGTATGATAAATGTCAGTTTGTCATACATCTAAAATAATACTACTCACCTGAAAATTCGTGGTACTGAAAAATCGCATTGCATAATAAGTTAGATGGTTGATTTATGTTGGTGGATTATTCAAAATGGTAAATGAAATTTCATTTTGTATCAAAAAACAGTGCAGATATTTATGACATTAAGTTTCAAATCCCTTCCAGTATATTTCAAGTTTAGGTACTCACCTATATGTACCTACTTCTATACCTTCCTACCATAGGGAAAGAAACGAATTCTGAATCAATCAATAATAAATTTCTCTATTTCTAGTACAAGCATCACTGCTTTCTTGTCGATAATATTAAAAAATGATAACAGTGAAGTTATGCGGGAAATGAGGTATTTTCAACTTGGCAACATTGTGTTAGCGTCAGTTGCTTCATCTCTTTCTCTTTTGTAGACACAGTTGCCAGATTAGCAATTGCTTTTCCGGGAATGAGTACTTGAGATATATTAACACTGTTTAATTTGTCGATTATAACAATCAGTCAACGAAATATCAACTTGATAACAAAAACCAAACAAATATAAAAAGCGTCTTACTGTAAGATGCCTCCATCACATTTTATCCTAGCTAATTTTCTTCGGAATTCAGAGTAAATTGTATGTGATCAGCACTGAATTACCTATCAACTAATCACGTACTACATAGTAGTTTCGAATCAACACATTCCTTGCACAATCTTGCACATAGGTTCAATTCCAGGATTTTATAGAGACCTGACAACAGCGACGTGCTTTCCAGCCA